TTGATGAGTTTAAAGAGTAATGGTGATAGTTCTTCTTTAAATGTCTTGCAGAATTCCACAGTGAAGCCATCAGGACCTGGGCTATTCTTTGTTGGTAAATTTTTTATTACATTTTCAATTTCACTCATTGTTATTTGGGTGTTTAGAATTTCCATATCTTCTTCATTTAACTTTGGCAATTCGTATGAATCTAGGAATCTGTCCATTTCTTGTGTTTTCCATTTTATTAGAGTACAAGTTCTCAAAGGAGGTATTGATGATCTTCTGGATTTCTGCTGGATCTGTTGTGGCTTCACTTTTTTCATTCTTAATTGCATGGATTTGAGCCTTTTCTTTCCTTTTTTTTTGATAAGGTTGGCTAAAGGTTTACTGATTTTATTTATTCTTTCAAAAAGCCAACTCTTTGATTCATTGATTTTTTGTATCATTCTCTTAGTCTCCATTGCATTGATTTCTGCTCGGATCTTTATAATTTCCTTTCTTGTATGAGGTTTGGGTTTGTTTTGCTCTTCTTTTTCTAGGAGCTTGAGGTTCTGCATTAGGTTATTTAACTGAGTTCTCTCTGCTGTCCTAATATGGACATTCACTGCTACTGACATAGGAGTTTAACTGATACAGCAATTAGTCACAGACTGGCTATGCTGGGTACAACTGAGAACAGGCCAGTTCCTTGTTCCTTGGTAATATTCACTGGATATAAACAAGCCTTGGTTTCAGCTTCTTTACAATCTGAAATAGGTTCTCATAAATGAGTAACACCCGCTATCAACACCAAAGAAAGGGCTGACTAAATTAATGAGTAAACTCTAGGAGTTCTTGAGGAGTTTGGTTACGACAGTGTTCAACAAGCCCAAATGTGAAAATTGCAGCACAATACCAGTGTGCTGGTCAAACATCTATTTTTTTTTCTGCTCCATGTTAAAGATAAGAACAGTTTCTTTAGCAACAAATACACACCTTCTCGTGTTTTTTTTTTTTTTACCTGCTCATTTTTATTAAATATACCAAACACCTATTTCTAAAAGTTTCTTCAAATTAAAATTTCCAAGGTTAGGGAACATGGTGAATATTATTTGTATAAGACTATATGATACATGATAAATAGGGAGGAAAGTGAGAAAAAAGAAAATTCAAATAGAGGCTCAAAGAGGTCAAAATATTAAAAGACATTCCTGAAAAAATTAAATGTAAATTGTTTCACTAGAATTTCATTTCCTGCCTACTCACTCTATTTGGAGAAGACTGAAGCCAATGACACTGCCAACAATGCCTGTTCCTTTGTGCTAAGATACAAATGGAATTTGCAGGAGACAGAGCCACTGACAATTATAAAGGCCTACAGAACAGTCCCCACAAAGAAATCCTCTAGTTCTTCGGAGAAAAGAATTTCCCAACACAATTTGCAATTAAAATGTGTAAAGGAATTTGCTTTAAAAATGTGCTGATTGTATAGAACTTTAGAGGCTCATGGGAGTGAGAATGAGAAATATAAACAAGAAACGGAAAGATAAGGAATACAAGAGTAATAACATTAAGTTTAAAGAATGTACAATCTGGGTACAAAAAGCCAGTGTAGAAAAACCAGAAATGCGAGACATCAAAATACAGGGATTTCTGCTTCAACTGATGTGATAGTGGTAGCTACCTGCAAAGGCACAAGCAAAAATCAGTATTTAAAGCTCTGCTAGGACATCTCACTATGGCTGTGCCTACTTCATGTCAATATAATAAAGATATTCTAACATTAGTGGCTGTGGTATAAAAATTAATTTTTAAGTTTGTTTCTGGAGATGGTATATGTTTTCCATCTCGCATCCATCTCAGCCTTACGTTTGTTCATAGAAACACATATTCTGTGGTTATATGATAAGTGTTACATTTTTCTGTAGGGAAAATGTTACAAATAACAGTTGGTTCCAGATGAGTATCCAAAAGGCTATTTACTTTATAATATTATAAATATCAGTCTGAGTCATAGACTGTAGGAATTGAGGACTACATGATACAGAAGCAATGGGTAGGCAGAAGTCAAAGAAGAGAATTTTAATTTTTCTTTTCTTTCTAAGTCTGGACCTCAGACAACTTTTGAAAAGTAGGAGGACCCTTTCCCCTGCCTCGTCCCTCTGGGTCAGTCTGATGTTCTTATCTACTATCTATCTCATCTTTACTGCTTTCCTGCTGCTCTAAGACCCCACAAGGAGATGTTTGTTTTTACACAGTATTCCATCTCTTAGTTATTTTTCTAGTGTCCTCCTAATAAATACTTTAATTCCCTGAAAGTTGTTTATATCAACCAATCACATTATGGAGTCAAAGACTGATAGCATTCTAACAGAAAATTTATGTGTGTGTGTGTGTGTGTGTTAAAATACAGATACATTTATATATAAAAGGATATATAATATAAATAAGATATACAGGAATATATTTTTTCCTTTCTCTTAAATGAAAATGCATATTAAATCAAATGAATTAGTGAAATGTTTGTTAATATAACAAAAGAATATGATAACTTTAAGATTAAAGGAAAATTTTATTTCTCAGGGAAGAATGACTCCCCAGTTAGCTTGAGTTTTCACCACCCCCCCATTCTGTATTCAAAGGTACTGAAAATGCTTTCGTTTTGTTCTTTAAACAACTATTAGTGCAAGAGCAAAGTGCTCAGATGATAGAGTGAAGGCAGAAGCTGCCAAATTAAGTCCCAGCCAGTAAAAATGCAAGTAACAGACAAAGATATCCCATCCACTTTAAAGGGCAAAATATGTACTGGTGCCTCAAAATGTAGTATTGTAAGAAATGATTAAATTCTTGGCAAACAAGAAGAAACCTTGGAAGTCATATTAAGATTGGTGTGACACTAGCTGGGCTTGTCCATGTAAACAGTAATATAAGGATGTGCAAATGTTTAGAATACACTCATTAGCTACCTTTTTACCCTCTCCTTTACCTTGCCTCTATCAGTTGTTTATTTTTCTAGCCATTTCCAGGAAAAGGCATGTGGGACTTAGTATTACCGTAGGGAGTTAACGGATGAATTGGGGAGCAGTTACTTTAAATTCACAGCTCAAAATATTCAACTTTATTCTGAACACTTAATAAAAAAGATCAAGAAGGGTTAATTTTTAGATTCCCCAAATATAGCTGATTTTGTCTACTGATTTTCTAGTTTAAGACTTGTAATTACTCATTCAACGTCACAGATCTGTTCTAAGTGCAAACTTAGCAACTCTGCTGCTTGTAGAGAAGGAAAGGCCCCCTGAGTGTCTGTTAAGAGTCTCCTCAGGGTAATGAGTCAAACTACATTCTGCTGTCTCACCTAGCCAGAAGCCTCCCAAACTTTTCACTTCCTCTTTCCATTTAAAAGTGGCAAAAAAATGTTAAGTGGAAACCTTGTTAGCAATTGGATTTTCCAATGATTTATACATAAAGGACCAAGGAAGTATGGTAGTTGGCAGCAAGCCCCTCCAGCACTCATCCTTACCTGCTGTGTCTGCTGTCTCTGGATTGCTCTCACTTTGGGAACAGGGCTTTCTCTGGAGGAAGAGGACTGCTGCCGGGACCGGCTCCCATTCTGCACAGGTTCAGCCACCAAGGCTGCAGATGTCACTGACATGCTCCCAGTGCTACGTAAGGAAGCACTATGGGGCAGGGATGGGGGGGCTTTGGCTCTGGCACCTAACCCAGCCTGGTCCATTTTTCGGATCTGTGTTTGCCCAGTGCTGTTTTGTCGTGGTAGAACAAGAGGTATGTGTCTGTCTGGCATATTGTGCCGCCGGGAGAAATCTTCACTCTGAGTGCTACGTTTGGTGAAATCTTCCATGCTGCTATTGCTGGGTCCACTGAGTTTGAAGTCTTCACTGTTACTTTGGCTTCTAGAACTGGCAGTGCTTAGGTTTTCCAAACTGGAATCAACAGAGGCCTTTGGCAGTGCTGGAATTGGATTATTGAGGTGGTAAACAGGATTCTGGAATGACAAGGGCTGGAGACTTCCTGGCTGGTTCAAGGCTGGATGCAGGGGCCTTCTCACTTGAGGCGCACTCTGGGGGGTGCTCTGGGTTTCCCGCAGATGCTTGATGCTGGCCACCTGGGTTATAGAAAGCTGGCTTCCGGTCCAGCGCACAGGCACATCAAGCATGACCGATGCGTGCTCCACCTGAACAGCATGAGTATCCTGGAGGTCCATAAGGGAGACACTTCGACCATTAGGAAGGCTACTTTCCTTTTCATCCTTTTCAGAATAAGTCATGCTCTGGGAGGAGGCCTGCTGAACCAGCAATAATGTTTTGCCCCTGAAATAGCTGTCTGTGTTGTCCTGGCTTGGAGATTTTAGTTTATGCAAATCACTGTGGAAAAAGAAAGGACCCTGAATTACTCTTGAGGAAAATCCCACACAGTTAAAAATCCTCAGTTTGGGCACATGAACCCTTCTGAAGTTTCACAGGCCCAATGTGGATACTTACATTTCTTTAGAAACTCAAATTTCAGCATTATAATTCTTAGAATAAAAGTCAGCATTTTTAGTTTTCTCCCAAAAGTGGAGAATAATTACCATCCCATCACTGTCTTCAGTTTTTACTAGAATTTCAATAATCTCCTATTTAGTGAGATTAGCGTACCTCCCAAGGTACTCAAATTTATAATTAATTAGTTCTGTCATAACCTTCAAGAGGAGAAATTCTGAGCAGACAACCAAAGGGTCTCTGCTAAAGGCACAAGGTAAATCTTGCCAGTCTAGAAAATTATGTCCAAGTCCAGCTGATATAGATGGCTATAAAATGGTTTTAACTGAAGGTGTCCAGAGTTTTGAATGCTACACTATGTGACAGCAATTTCATAAAACTCTTACTCTTCCTTTAAGCAGGACATAGTTTTGTATATATTTACTGAATATAACTCTATCCTATCATTCTAGAAAATAAGTTATCCTAGATTTTGTGCATTACGACAACTGAATTTACCTCAGATGATGATTTTTAACCGCTCATAACTTTAAAGTTGCAAATTTAACAAATAAAAAGTTTTCTGCTAAATCTTTATATTATCTCTGAGACAGTAGTTCAAAATTTCTCTTTCATACCTGTCAGTGGGGTCTTCAAATATTTTCTGCAGCCCAGAAGAGAGGCTCCCACTGACATTTGGACTGGAGTTATGCTCAGTGAAACGTCTCAGTTGCTGTTGTATTGGCGTAGGATTAGTCAGAGACTTGGTAATATCAGCGAGAACACGGGGGAGAGGCCCCAATTTTGCCACGGTTGCCTGTAGGAAGGAATTGTCACCCTAATTGCATATAATGAGCATTGTGACATCCACCACAGATTGTTTTTGGGAAAAACGAGGCCCATTGATGGAGGGGTGTAGGTTGGAGGGAAGGATAGGTATTTGCATATGGAGTGGCAAGTTCATAATGCATTGTTATGGAGCAGCAGAACCATGGCGTCGAGATGAATGGAGGAGGCGAAACAAGATGCAGCAGACATTGAGGAAAGAAAGGAAATAGAAATTAGGATTATGCAAATAAAAAATTAAAAGACATGCTTAAAACAACCAAACTAATGCCATTCCAACTAAAATAGGCATGCAAAGCAAACTAAATCTTTGGGTGGCTAACAGACCAAAACAGAGAAGGGCAGGAACCAAACACCTTCTAACCAAAAGGAACTTCAAGATTACAGGATTGGCTGGTGTGATGAAACTTACAAAGAAAAAAGACCACGTGAGAAAAGAAATGCATGCCAACATACAGGAAGGTGCTGCATTCCGGGATCCACAACATGGCAGGGCACACAGTTAGTTGATATTGTCATCCACTATTCCAGTCAATCTTGGGACCCCTGACCAATTGCCAACTTAGTTTCCATTAGTAAGGCAATTTTTTTTTTAAACAGCAAAATCAGGTAAATTCTTTCTATGTGTCTAGATGTATTCCTGCATCCCAGGATCAGACACTAAAAAGGAGAAAGTGTGTATATACAGCAAAGCCTGTTAAAAAGACTTTGACCTTGAATAAACCAGGCCTACTTCAAAAAATAACTATATATGCACACCACTGATAAAGTTATTTAAAAAAGAATAACTTTTTTGTTGTTGTTTTTTTGAGACAGGGTCTTGCTATGCAGCTCAGGCTAGTCTTGAACTTCAACTCCCAGTGATCCTCCTGCCTCAACCTCCACAGTGCTGGGACTACAGGTGTGCTCCACTGTGCTGGGCCAAGAATAACTTCATAGTACAGGCATTATCCACTTCAATCTTTTTTTTTTTTCCTTAGGGGATTATTATTCTTGCAGGGTTTTATGGGATCTCTTGAATATAAGTTAGTTTTACATGGCTGCCTTCGGGACTTTTTGTCTTATCAACAATCAATAGACTCTTATGCCAGGCTCAAATGGACACAGTGCCATCTAAAGAATCCCTTTACAAATGGAAATGAAATCTATGTAAATAGGGAAGGGCAGAGGGGGTGAAGGGTGCACAGGTAATGGGGGGAAAAGAAAAAGAACCAAGATATATCATGTACAGGTACAAACACCCAATGATAAATGTAAACGTACCAATAAAAGAACTTAAAAAAAAAAAAGAATCCCTTTACTTGCTCAACAATGCTGAGTCATGGTTCATATTAAAGGAAGTTACTCTCAACACAGCTTCAACTTAAGACCTAGGTAGTATTTCTACAAGTGAAGAATAGGTTTTGGAGAATAAGAAGTGATTATTTTACAAATGTTTTAAGCACCAGTGGACACACTACTATTTATGCTTCCTTAGGAAAATAGCCTTTTTCATGGGTTTTATTCTTCTGCAGTTTTTATTAACACATTTTTAAAGATAATAAGAAAATTGAAGAAAACAAATCCTCATCACAGAAAAACAGTTTTGGAAGTCAATCTAATGCCACTCAACTATTTTCTATTAAAAAAATCCATGCCTTGCTGTAAAATTCCAGAAGGAAAAATGTGATCAGCATGCTTTGCAATTTACTCATTAATATGATGTATAATAAATCTATAATTTATAGTCAGAAAACAAATGATTGAAATATTGATTTGCGTGTCACATCTGTAGAAAAGTCAGTATCAGGATTTTCAGATCCCATGTGATCTCAGCACTAATAATTACAAACTTCCTGACCTCCATAGTAAAACAAAAAACATCCACACAAAAAATTTCAGAGGTAAAGCTACTTAAACATGATAAACAGTATTTTCCAAGTCTATACATCTGTTAGAAATTACTAGACGAAGTTTCACCTTATCCTATTACATATGAATGAGGATGTATACACCCATATTTTGTATTAGTTTCTAGGCAAGTTTTCAGATGTGTGTGTGTATATATTTATTCAGATAATTTTAAAAAAATGTATTGATAATTTCATGGCCTTCTAGAATTTCACAGCTGTGGAGCACATGTTTTATTTAAAAATGATAATCACTTTCAGATACCAACAGCAAAAGGTTGCTTTTAACTAGCAAAAGGGGTGAGTATTATCACTCATAGATATGCTCCAGAATTCAGGTACACTAACGTTCTCTATCTCCCATTTCCCATTACTCTTTCATCCTACTTTACCTTATCAAGTTGGGAAACTACTTCCCACAGTAAGGAATGCAAAACTGAAAGCTCTCGGCCCAGATCAATGTAACCATCAAAGCCTGGGGTATTTGAGATGGTGTCTGGATTAGAGATCTCCAAAAGAAAGCGCTTCATTCCACCCCATTCATGTTCTAAAAAATCATTCATGAATGCCATGTATTCCTCTTTGTTACCAAACCTGAAGTGGAGGGTGAGAAAATGAGAAAGAACACATTCAAGAAAAGAGATATGATCATTTTGAGTTGACTTTACACAGAGGTATACAGTTCTTTTATTTTGTGGAGATAACTAATCTTGTTTCTCTGTAAGTGGTAAGAGAACTTTGTTTTTAAGGTGCTAGGGATTGAACCCAGAGCATTTTGCATACTAGACAAATACTCTATTACAGTGTACACTACCAGCCTTACAATGTATTTTTTTCCTCCCTCCCTTCCTCCTTCCTTCTCCTTCCTTCCCTTTCCTTCCTTCCTTCCCTCCTTCCCTCCCTCCTTCCTTCCTTCCCTCTTTTGCAGTGCTGGGGAACTCAAGGCCTTTGCACTGAATTACATCCCTAGTCTTTTAAAAATATTTTACTTTGAGGTAGTCTTACTAGGTCGCCAAGTTTCCCACGCTGGGCTTGAACTTATTTAAGGTTTTCCGGTATGTATTAAAGCAATATTACGAATATATGAAGCCTTCTGCTTCAGCTTGCCAGAGTGTTGGGATTGCCGGCATGCATTATCACACCCAGTTTCTAAAATATACTTTCTTAATATTACTTCAATACAACCAAAAAACCTTGAATAGCTTTCTATTCTCTGTAGGATAAAGCCAAAACTCATTTATTTCCCCCAGTATTTAAAGATCTTTATAAAATAGCCTTTACTTACCTATTAAATGTTCACTGGCGTGAACTTCAATATTACTAGCTTCTTCAAAGTCTCCCAAATATATTATACAGCATTCCCCCCAATCACTGTATACATTCAAAGACCTCCAATAGATGCTTGGAACTGTGGATAGTACAGGACCCTGTGTATACTATGATTTTTCCCCATAAGTACATACCTATCATAAACTATTACCTTTTCACTTAAGGAAGCACTTTAAAGCTTCTCTTTGGCATACCTAAATTGTCTGCACCACTACTCATATGGTTTGGGGTCATTACTAAGATAAGGGGGGGCCGAGGATTTAGCTCAGTGGTTTCGTCGCCTGCTGAGCAAGCGCAAGGACCTGAGTTTGATCCCTGGTACCAAAAAAAAAAAAAAAGAAAAGGGACACTTGAGCACAAGCACTGTGACACCTTCAACAGTTGATCTGAAAACCAAGATGGCTACTTCCAGGCAGGTAGCATATAAGGGATGATTCATGTCCTGGGTGAGACACAGACAGACAGCATGAGATTTCACCATGCTACTCAAAATAGCATGTAAATTTAAACTTAGAATTGTTTATTTCTGGAATTTTGTCTTTACTATTTTTGGACCACAGTTGACCATGGGTAAATAAAATCATGGAAAGCAAAACTTTGGATAAGGAGAGACTACTGTATTATATTCATTTTCTTCTTCAATCCTTTGCTCATGCTCTTTATTGCCACTAGAAAAAGAAACACTTCTTTGCCTATTAAGATTCTAGCTGTCTTCAGGGTCTAATTTAAGCCTATAAAACTTGTTGCAAGATAAACTAGAAATAATTTTCATTAGGATTAGCTCAAAATGGGCAAATAGGCATCTTTCTGCACTGGATGATTAAGAATAGAGCACTTCTAAAAAAATCTCCATTATTTAAATACTAGAAAACAATCTTTTCATTGAAGTTCTAATTTTTTCTTCCATAAATTGCTAACAGAAACTTGTTTTTAACAGATGCAGCTCAGTAGTAGAGTGCCCTAGTGTGTGAGGCCCTGGATTTTATCCTCAGTACTACCAGGAGGAAAAAACAAAAACAAAAACCATACACTTGTTTTTAAGTGTATTCATGATCAATTTTCTAAGTATGAATTCTTCACCAGCTATTTCATAAAATTATTTTCTATAAATTATGAAAAAATAATATGAATTTACTGAGGAAAAAGCTGGAAACAATGAAAGTGAAAAGAAAAAAGTGTAGGTGTGTCCATTCAACTACCAAACATATTTGCTATGTGTATTTGTTTTCTCCTTTCTTTCAAAAAAATTTTAAGCCTACAAAGATGATGAAAGAATATACAATAAATAACCATATGCCTTTCATTTACATTAATCAAATGCTAACATTTTGCCAAGTTTGGTTTTATTCTTTCTCTGTATATATACATAGGCCTTTTTTTCCCTGAACCCTTTTAAACTAAGCTACAGACATCACTTCTAAATACTTTAGCACCCATGTTTTTCAGAATAAGGAATATCTATTATATAAACCAATGCCATTTTCACACTAAAACTTCTGAAAATATAATTCATGAATCATCTTACATATAGTCCATATTTAAATTCCACTGATTATCTCCCAAATAACTTTTCGAGATATTTTTCTCCCAGTTTTTAAGATCCAAATATATTTCAAGTATTGTGTTTGGTGCCTTTTGATCTACTACAGTAACTTTCTATCTTTTGCATTTTCCTAACATTGTCTTTCAGGAAGTGGCTAGGCTAGTTGTCTTAGACCATGAAACTAAAATAATTTGTCAGATTATTCTTCCTAATCCTTTTATACTTATATTCTTGTGTTTTTATATTGTTAGAATAGCATCTATACTGATATGTATCCTGTCCTTTTTTTTTGGTACTGGGGATCGAACTCGGGTCCTTGCGCTTGCGAGGCAGGTGGCAGAACCACTGAGCTAAATCCCTGGCCCTGTCCTTTTTTTATAAGTACTTTTCATTTCCCCTATTACTGGATGTTCTTTGTAAACATTATTGTATTATTAGTAGTATTGTATTATTGTAAACATTATTTTAAGTATTCAATAGACTATATGTACCATCTGTTGTTTAATATTTAAGTTTACATTTTATCTTGCTATTTTTATTGCCAACACAACAAAAATATAGCATCATGAATGATGCCCCTATTTATATTTTAGGCCTAATTTTTTTGTTTAGTTTATTAGAACATGCGTGTAGTACATTATGCTTACATTCATCTTAACTCTTTTCTATTTCCTTCTCTCCTTCCCCCTTCCCCGCATCCCTTGATCCCTTTTTGTTTTTGTACATGTTTGCAGTACATCATGTTTGTATTCCTTGTATGGAGTTGGGACATGTACATAACACATCTTAGTTCCTTTTTTGTATCCCTTATCCCTTCCCTCCCTCCCCCTCCCCCCATCTCTCGATCCTCTTCCTCTGTGAGAAGGATTGATCTCCCTACTTCCTATTATCTATATTTTATTTTGCTCTTTATTTTTACTCTGGATTTCTCATATAAGAGAAACAATATGATATTTAAGCTCGTGCGTCTGATTTACTTAACATTATGATCTCAAGGTGCATCCATTTTCCTGTAATTGACTCAAGTTCTATCTTTCTTTATGGCAGAGTAGTATTCTATAGTGTGTAAATATCACATTTTCATTATCTATTCATCTGTTGATGGACATACTGCCTACTTCCAAGATTCATCGATTATGAATTGAGGCCTCACATATTTTTAAACTATGTGTTTTAAAGCGGTTATGGTAGCATCACCTACTTGGCAAAGTTGGCCAGGTTCTGAATGACCTTGGCAATAAGAGTTAGAGTCCGAGATGTACGGTCATCAGGATACTCCTGCATAAGGTTGAAAAGACTGGGAGACATAATGGCTGGGCAAAGAAAACGGAGAAATAACGAGGCACTAATGAGCCGCTCACTGATGTCTTGCTTGCCTCGGTTTAGGCACTGCTGCTTCCATGATGCAAATACTTCTTTCAATTCACGAGGGAAAACACTGGAGAAGGAAAAAAGATACTAAAACCTCTAAATATAAAAGAACCATAACACACAAAAGCACGACTGATCCCCACTCTGATTCAGCAAACCTCTGCTCTAGAGCCAAGCTGTGAGGACTTAGTAGATTCCTAGGGAGGACGTTCTGCTCAATTCATGTCTGAGGCCTGGTGGAAAATTCACAGTAGGCCAGATGGAGACTGGAAACTGAAAGCTATAAACCCTAGATAAGTATAAATTTAGTTCTGCAAAGTGGGAAAATGGTATGAAGCTCCTGACTAAACCATCTGGTTTAATATAGCTCACCATAATCTTTCTAAAAACTGTTCATAAAAAATCTCCCCAAATCTCACCAATTGCTAGAGGAATGATCAAAATTAATGAATGCATCTGTTCAACACTGGTAAATATTTTAGAAAGCTAGAAAAATACTTTTAGATATTAGAGGATGCAGTACTAACACTATGGGAAAGATTATTTAGATAGTCAATTTGGAAGTACTTTTGCTTAGAATAAAGATTTAGATAATTATATTCAATTTTTCCCTGAAGTCCTTCCTTTGGAGACAGTCAGAGGATGTTTATAAGGAAAAGCATTAGTTTCATAATCAAGTGTTCACTGTGGATACCAGCTTACCAGTAAGAGTTGATGATCTTGCAGAAAGCCAGTTCACAGCACATTTTTAGATTGCTCTGATGGTCTATCAGTTCACTAGATGAACATTTGCTGGGATCTACCTCACAGTTCTCATCTGATTCATACAAAGCTTTGATGAACTCCCCTATGTGAAGAGAGATGATAAGTCGTATAACTATAAACAGTGTCTTCCTGAGTAGAATTAAAGGATTTTGGATTTCTACCCTAAAATGTATAATGAGGAACTTTTTTCTCAGACTTGACATAGAGGTGACAAAAGACTGCCCACAAGGGTCACTGGAGCCATTAGTTACAATAGCCCACAATATCATGTTTATGTTCCTTATTTTGGAAGTAGAATAACAGTAATCACTAACATCATCATTACAGTATTTATAAAACTAGTAACAATGACTTCAAACAAAGTAGTATCTTTTATCAGAAACTATAAACATTTAATTAGCATGAATTTGTAATTTGCTAAAAGGCTCTACCATGAATATTATTACCACTATTCTAGTAAAACAAACTACCCAAACTTGCTTGAATAGCTCACTAAATAAGGTGTTAGGATCTAATGTTGGTGCCAAACAGATACAAGTAGGGCTCTGCTGGCTTACTTCTTATAATGGGGATAGTCATTTAATTTAGCTAAAAATTATAGCATATCTCTTTATATACTTCCTAAATATCTTAATGGAAAAATATGCAATTTTTGGTCATCCTATATTTAAATAATTGAACTGGTAAGTGGTTAAGGATATGCCCAGTATTCCCTGAAAGAACAAATCACCTTACCTGTTTATTCTCTACTATACATTATACCTTACATGTCTTCTAATCCTCCATGTTTCATATTTTTTTGTGCTTATTTGTTCACATGTCTGCCTCATTTCTAGGATGAATATCTTTGGTGGTTAGGAACCAGGTTTTAATCATGTTTAAATTCCTACCCCCTTGAATAGCCTTCACAGCAATACATATTGATCAGAGATGACGGTATGTAGTTTTGGTTTTTTTTATACAAGTCTTTATTAACAAGGAGTGGATCTGTCAGAGATCTGTGTAAATCTATTTATGGAGGTCCAGGTTAGTTATAACAGTTTACGAAGGTGAGCAATACTTTCTATAAAATTAAGTAGCAGTAGAAATATGAAATTTTTTTTTAACCAAAATGGTTAGTATTGAGACAAAGGAATGGTTTTAAAAATAGCTATGACAGAGGATGGGAAGTGATAACTTGGAAGAAACACGCTCGGAGAACAGAAAGCAACGAGGTACACAGATAAAAGTGTTAATAATATCTGTCTTGTAGAACTGTGGTGAGAATCAGAAATAATGCACAAAAACCATTTCAGATGGTTCCCTCATTTAGTAGCGGCTCCATAAGTAAGTATTACAATGAATAAATTATGCTACTTTTAAATAATTTTCCATAATCTTCAACAGCCAAAATTAGTAAAAGCTTAAAAAAAATCAACAATTTTCACAATGTAAATATTCAACATATTCTCTGCATCTCCCATGCTATGTGCCTCCATATAATCTATCTCATTTAAAACTAAACAATCATTCTCAAATATCTTGTTATAATTAACCAAAATCTAAATTCCTTTCATAAACATTCTGTTTTGTGAGTTCCTTTAGTTTATATCTATTCCAGGGAAATGATACTAATGTTAATGGGTAATAATAAAATAATTCCAGTGTTTAGCAAAATAAGTAACTCCTAGGCCTAGAAATAAATTGTCTATAATGTCAACACTATGCTGTCTAAAGTTTTTTCTGATTATACAGCAATTAAAATCCTCTACAATTCAGAAAATTATTTTCATTTTTGAAATTATAATCTATGTCTGGTGATGTGGAATGTACCACACTGCAAGGTAAAGCTTGCATGGATATGTACCTGAAAGGTACACACTTGATCCACAATATTAAGATATATTAAAATGCACTTGAGTTTGCTTCCTTGCCTCTGAAAATAATCAAACTCAAGGGGGTCTTTATTATGTTGTTTAAATAAGTTCATGCCTAGAATCTTCTATGATGTTTCATGTATGTCATTAATTCATTACTACCTAGCATCAAAATTTCATGTATAGGAGTAAGTCAGCAGGTATGGACATAGCATTGCTGAAAGAAATTTACCTCTATTACTAAGAGTGAAAATCAGGCCTTTGGAGAAACCTCTTCCCTATATCTTACAGACGAAACTTTTTGTATGTCATAGGATAGCAACATGAAACCTGACTTCAATTAGATAGGTAAAAAGGGCTAAAAGATGAAGATTTAAGTCTATGTAAGCAGACTCCAGACAGTAAAGAGCAATTTTTTTCCAGATAAATGAAGATAGGGGTGGGGATTTAGCATGGTGGTTACGCTGCCTGCCCTGCAAGCGCAAGGACCTGAGTTTGATCCCCAGTACCAAAAAAAAAAAAAGATAAATGAAGATAGGCTAAGAAGCAGGATATCACACAATATGACTAGTAACTTTTAAAATCAATCAAGCAGTCTGGAAACAGCATCAATTTTTTGCCCAAGATATAAGAACTATGGTAAAACTTTAATAGGAAGAAGACATACCACCCTGGCCCTGATCTTACATTACAGATATGTTAACAGAGTTCTCTGAGGGGTTACTTGAATTTTTTCCCATGCTCACTGAATTAATTTTCATGCCTCATTGGGCCAATCAGTTATTTAATTCACTGTTATATCAAAGGACTTGCATCCAATCATTTTGAAAAATCTCATTCAGCAATCCTGTTTAGCACATTGATTTTTAGAATGTGAATATTTGATTTTAAAGATGCAGGCAGTCAACAAATATTCACCTCTATATCCACAGATTGAAGAATCTGAGATGCTTCATTGTTGCTTTTTATAATATAAATCATTAAAGCAAACCATGACACATAATTTATGACTGTAAAAAGCTCTTTATGTAAATGACACTAATAACCTCACTATAGTGAGGCTACTTCATGTGAACATAGTGGTCCTATTTTTTGAGTAGTTCTTTACTTTGTATTCCTTATAATATAATTCTTTTCCTCCAGATAGTACTCTAAAGCACCACAAGTGATCTTTTTCTTGGTACTGGGGATAGAACTCAGGATCTTGTGCCTGCAAGGCAGGCGCAGTACTGCTGAGCTAAATCCCTGGCCCTACCACAAGTGATCTTTAAGTTGCCAAATGCAAGCCATTTTTTCTTGACCATCTGCCACCCCTCCCCCCGTTCTTCTCTCTTGGTGTTAGGGATCAAATCCAGGGCCTCATGCATGGTAAACATATGTTCTACTCCCGAGTTATACTTCAGTCCATCCCCCTGCCTTTTAATAGTCTCTTTTCTTTTGGTATCTGACTCTGTTAACTGGAATTTCTGGTTTTCTTTCACTTCTGCATTTTCTCTCTGATTCTTCTTCCTTCTACACCATAAAACCAGGTATACTGTGAGATGTCTTTTGCTCTACTTGTTTCCTGCTCTGGTAATCCCATAGCTTCAGTTAACTCCCTCATATGGGTTAAGTTAGTCACAAATATCTAAAAGCCAACTAGTCAGAAGTATTGGTTAGCTTTCCCACCTAAAGGCCCTGAGACTTCCTATTAGAACTTCAAATTGAATATATCTCAGGTGGAGGTGTCATTTCCTATTTTTTAAAGCCTACTATTTTTATGGTTTCTATTTCTGTTAAGAATCACATCATCTAGGGGCCGGGGATTTAGCTCAGTGGTGCTGCTGCCTGCCTCGCAAGCGCAAGGTCCCAAGTTTGATCCCCGGTACAAAAAAAAAAGAATCACATCATCCTTCTAGTCATTCACAAAAACCCAAAATTCTCTGTAGTATTTGGTCCCTCCTACTTTTCCACAAACTGAAAAAGTTGCAAAATCATATCTGTTCAACTGTAACATTTCTTTTATTCATCTTCTTCTCTATTCTTATCTGCAGGGATTGCCTCATTCAGTCTCATTATTTCTTGCCTTCCTCATTACAATGGCTTTTACATTAATTTCATTGAAAACGCTATACTCAAAACTTCAGCGGCTTTTCAATTATTGTAAATCTAATCCTTGGCCAGGCTCTTAAAAATTTGGTTCTAATTATTTCCTAAACTTTTCATTGTTGTTCACATATTTCTTTTGTATCCTTTTTTTTTTTTTGGTACCAGGGATTGAACTCAGGACCGTGCAGTTGCAAAACAGGCGGCAGTACCACTGAGCTAAATTCCCAGCCCTCTTTTCTATCCTTTTTCTGCAAAGTGTTTGCTCCACACATGCTTGGTTCTCTCACACTTCTTATGCCTTTTAAGTGCACCCCTCCACTAATCCCTACCATGGCCTTTGCCCAATGTCTGTTTCATTATTTCCTTTCTACCCTTCAAGCTATACATACAACACAAGCATATTTCAAGAGGAAATTCTGTAACTCTATTAAGCTGGAATTAAATTTTTAAAGATTCTCTGAGAAAACACAGGATTTATCTCTTTTTGTTTATAGGGATAACCTTCTCCTACTTCCTTATATTATAAACTCCTTAAGAACAAAAAAATCTGCAGTCATTCAACATACCTTTATGGTCTACTTGATAGTTACATGTGACTGTTAAGCACTAGAAATATGGCTAGTTCAAATTAAAATGTATGCTAAATGCAAAATATACACTCCATTTCAGACTATGAAAAAAGTAAAATATTTCTTTAATAATTCTTATATTGATTAGTTGCTAAGTAATATTTGGATACCATCAGGTTAAATAAAATAATACATTATTGATTTCACTTCATTTCTTATCCTTTTTATACTGTGACTACAAGAAAATTTAAAATTACTCAGTAAATACCCAAAATTACTCATATGCGGCTCATATTATGTTTATATAAGACAGTGCTACATAGCATTCTGTGTGAAATACAGATAAAGGAGAAAAAAAAATTGTTATGGGCCGGGGATTTAGCTCAGTGGTTCCGGTGCCTGTCTTGCAAGTTCAAGGTCCTGAGTTCAATCCCCGGTACCAAAACAAAACAAAACAAAACAGAACAAAAAACGTCCAGCATAGTGCCTTCTCTATTAGTTAATGACTGAATTTCATGACCAAATCTGGGACTATGAGGGCCTAGTCAGCAAGAACTAATAATAGGACTAAAATTAATTATGTAAAAAAGCTCTAGAGACCTTGGAAGGGAGAAATTAGGAGTTGTGGGGTGGGGACTGGCAAGAATTTCTTCATTTTTGATGAGTTTTGTATACATGATGGCAAATGTTTGGCTAAGCTTTCAAGGCTTTGGTAATATATTTATATTATAGTATAAATACTCAACAGTTTAGGGGGAAACATGCTATATCAGGTCTAGGAGTGATATCCATGGATATTATTATATATTTCCCTTAGGAAAGCTGAATATGCCGATGGCCTATTTCCACACATACTATAATAAACTATTGTTCCTCCACTGGTGAGCAGTACAGAGACTGTTACAACAGAAACTTAAACCTGAAGACTCTAGTGAGCTGAACTAAATAACATGTAGAATTTGAGCTTGAATTGTTTGTCACATGAGCATGAAATAAGTTAAAAATGAAAGAGGGGGGGAAGAAAACAGGTATTTTCCTCTTTCATACCTAGTGCATCATGAAGATATTGTTGTCCCACCAACTTGAGATATTCCTCAATGGATTTTGTGGCAATGGTGTTCTCTCTGAAGATCAAGACATCATGCTCTCCACAACGATCCACCTCAGACATCACCAAGTCGGTTAGAAAATCCTGGTAGAATAATGTTCAAATAAGTAGAAAGCAACTAAATAAATTATACATTAAAAGTACAGAACTATCAAACATCTTCAGAATGCTGCTTTAAAAGCTAAGCTACCAGATTCAATTGGAAGGAAAAAGGCAGTCAAGACAAAAATCCTATGTGCCACTATTCCTAAGTTTAAAATTCCTTCAAAGATTTTTCATTGTACTTTTGAAAAAGAGCGTAATTCTGATTGTAGTCTCCAATGTCTAGATTCCTTGGTTTCTGTCTAGCCTTTTGGCCATCTAGTACTGTTCTCTCTGAAATCTGCTTCAGCCTCTGAGGCCCTTTTTTTTTTTTTTTTGACATCAACCACTTTCTACATATGATGTTCTCTCTCCAGCACAAAGCCCTTTGCAAATGCTGCTCTCAGTTCTGCTCCATTCCAATCCTCATTGCTACTCCCAGTATCAGGGAACTAGTTCCTGGGATCGCTTGGCTCTTAGCTCACATATTTCCTCAGTAAAGTCTTTCCTGACCAACATTGTCCCTAAGCTCTACAAGTCAGGTCTGCTTGCTCCATGCTCCCATAATACCAAGTATTTTTTAATTCTCTATACTTCTCACTGGAATCAGATATTTATTTCTCTAATCTTTTGATTCATGTGTTTTCCTCAGAAAATTGCAAGTCCCATGAGGCTTCGGAATATCAATTTTCGATTACCAATATATCTCTAGCACCTAATAGTTTCTGGCATATATTAATATTCAACACATAGCAGTTACAAATTGGCTTACAGTATCAACATTGAATTTCTTGAACTTATCACTTAAAGTCATTTTCAAGTGCTCTCTTCGGCAGCACATACACTGAAATTGGAACTATACAGAGATTAGCATGGCCCATGTGCAAGAATGACATGTAAAGTCATTTTCAAGACTGACTATTCTTCTAGCTGCCTGGCTGGCCATCTGTCTGTCTGTCCATCTGTTCATCCATTCACCCACCCACCCATCCATCCATGGAGAAGAAAGACATATAAGAAGTAAAGCCCTGAAGAAACAGCCTCTTCATTCCTCAACAGTCACAAAAGAACTTGATGTAAAATTCAATGTTTATTATCATTTGATGTGAAATATGATAGCATCATATATTTTGAATATTATATATTTATTGGATATTTTAAGGGCTCCAAAACTCAAAACAGAGGTAATATGCAGATTTTTTTTTACATATATACTTTAAACTTAAGCATTTAATTAACAGGACTTACACTGGAGCAGCTCAATAGTCTAATAATAGAGTTGTGGGCCTAGGAATCACTATTAAAACTTATGGTAATGGACAGGAGGAAGTTTTGGGGGCGATGGTAACATTTTGTGTCTTGATTTAGATGGTGGTTTCGATGGGTGCATATCTGTCAAATCTCACTGAACTCCACTTTAGATGGCTGTAGTATATTGTAAGTAAATTGTACATTATTCAATTAAATTGTTTCAATAAATCTTACTACATCCTGAACCTGCAGCAATCGAAAAGCACAAACAACATACTCAAAAAATTTCAAAGATGAGACTCAAAATTTCAAACATCTTATCCCAACTCTTAAGCTTTTTTACTGACAGAAAGCTCAAGATTATTTTCAATAAATTCAAGCACAAAATTTACAATCAATAGGAAGCCAGTTAGATAAGGGAGCAAATAGCTAATATATTGATATATTATGATTTATATCAAGAAATAATAATAACACTTTATTTTTTGATTCTAAATAAATTATTCTAGCTGTGAACATCTCTGGATCTGAAGTTCAACTTTACTATGACCAGTTGGCTTAAAATATATTGGAGACTCAGCTTAGAAAGTGAATATGCCTCATAGGTCAAAGATTCTATCAACTGGTGGTTGTTTCTTTCTATAATCAGCATATTTCTCTTTTGCTGTCTTCCTGTATTTTTACTTTTATCCAGGATGAAATGATACAAGACTATCATGAAATAGCTACCAACTGTATAACAATCCCTTGGTATTTTTACTCCAAATATAAATTTTAACCCCATAAGGAATCTTGCTAATACTCAGCATGTTTCTGGAATACTTCCTTCTTTGCCTATGGGATAGTCATCAGTTAATCTTAAAATACAGTAAGAAAGAAAATCATCATACAGTATCCTAGAACACTGGTAGCAAACCTATGGCACATGTGCAACAGCGGGCTGTTTATATCTTTGAAAATTCTAAAAGGTTCATCATCACTGCCCTAGAATTGAAGAATTTGGATAAAGTGTGGGGATAACATACCAATCCTACCATTTATTCTATCAAATAATTAAAAACTTGGGCCCAGGATTTAGCTCAGTGGTGCTGCCAACTTGTATTGCAAGTGCAAGAGCCTGAGTTTGATAGCCGGTACTAATCCCCCACCCCCCAAACAAACAAACAAACAAAAGAAATGGTTGTGGTATCTATCTTTTATGAAAATAGGCTTTCAACAAATATTGGTTTCTCCATTTTACTTCTTTAGCTTTTTTTTTTTTTTCCAGGCAGGGTCTCGTTATGTAGTTTAGGCTGGCCTTGAAGTCACCATGTGGCACAGGCTGGTCTGGAACTCTCAGCAATCCTCCTGCCTCAGCCTCCTGACTGCTGGGATTACTGGCATACACCACCACACTTAGCCACTTCTTTAGTTTTATAATCCTCATTTCTTTTGGATCTGCTAATAGGTTCCCTCTTAACTCTTTCTTCTTCTTGTGACCATAGCAAAGTACATTTTTCTAATTTGGTTCTGTACAGCATTCATACCTTATTTCTTTGTAAAGGACAGGGAAGAGTTTCCAGGTAACACAATCCCCCTCTTCCACTTACCTTGGCTCTGCCAGTACTTTGAAGAATGTGCACCAAGGCGCAAGCCAACTCCTCTTTATTTCTCACACTAATTACTGGCTCAAGAACAGAACAAAGCATAGTGTAGTTGCTGGTGACAAATTCTGCAAATTCTTTGTATTGCTCCATAGGCAGAATGGTGATAGTTTGGAAACGTGACTTAATCCTAATAGAAGGTCCTCCTGTCTTCCCTTTGTTGGGTGTAGGCGTACTCACTGGATACCACTTTTCTACAAACTGGCGACCAGTAACACTGGCAGTGGGGATGTTGACAAGCCCTACATAATTATTTTTGTCCTTTTTCTTCTTTTTTTCCACATCCTTATAAATGTGAACTGTGATACTATGAAGAGGTGGAAGGCTGTAGAATTCAAAATGTTCACCCCAGAAAATATTGTCTGCTTTGGTCTTGCTGGTTGTACGAGCAAAGAGGGTATCATCAAGGCACAGTTCACAGAAATACTTCTTCTTAGGGGCAAGGTCCTTGGCTTCAATGATCCATAAACGAAGAACATTTTCAGCTCGTCTGCAATTGTCCTATAAAGAGGCGACACAGTTGAATTTGAGAGCTAATATCTCAGAAAGAGAATATTTCCTCTTAAAGTGATACTGATTATGTACTATATAAGGGGAGTCAATACATAATGAAAAGTATTGGATATTTTATTGTTTGGGACAATAGCAAGGTATAAACAAGAATGTATCAGAGTCTTAGAGAACCACATATGTTCTATTTTACTTAGGTTGAAATATCATCTTGTAATAGTTATGGTAAATTTTCCTATAGCCAGCTTAATGGCAACTGGACTAGTTTTTTACACATATAAAGGATAGGTAACAAACGTATTCTAGTCCCCTTTCTATCATGTACTAACTTCTGACATGTATAAATCATTTAAGTTTTCTGAGTCTTCTTATCCACATTGGTAAATTCATAGTAATATCCATATTGAGATTATTTTTAGTATAAAATATCCTAAAATGTGTATGTATTTTAACACTGTTAAGCTCTTTAACAATTAAGATATTACCACTACATTTATCTTCTATCAACTTACTCTTTTCAAAGTGATATAGGGGCTGGGGATTTAGATCAGTGGTTCTGGCGCCTGCCTCGAAAGTGCAAGGTCCTGAGTTCGATCCCCAGTACCAAAAAAAAAAGAAAAACAAAAAAACCCAAAGTGATACATTTTTAGACTATCAAAGCCACTATTACCTTATTTGGTTGAACTGTTCTTCGAAGGTTTTCCATCCACTTATCTCTTTCTGAAGCTGAGTTACAGCTGAAGCATTTGCTTCCACTTATATAAGTGACCTTCAACATAAAGATTAGAGACAAAGAAAAGGAACTATAAGATTTGGGGGCCTCTATCTTCTTAATTCTATCCTGTAAGAGTCAGGGATATGTTATCAATCCAAATCATACTAAATGAAACTAAAATGATCTTAGCTAGTTTTGTGATATCTATATCTAAATCTATACCTTCATTTTAATTTTTTTCTCTATTTAGCATCTATTTTCATTTCTAGGTACAAGCATAAAGGCCATTTAGAAATCAGCTGGCTCATGACTAAAAAATATCAAAATTAAAAACCTTTCAGGCCACATCTTAAATTAACTGCAAATGAATATGCTCAATTCTGAGTCAAAAATAACCAAAAATGGAAGAATTTCTAAAAAAGATTTCTCAAGACTGCCTTCATTATAATATTATAGAAGGATGCTAAAAGAAATTGAAGACTTTAATAGTAATGAATTACTGTCTTTGGAATCCATCTCTCCACTAGGCAACTATCTTGTTGATTACCAGTCATTTACTAGGTTAGCCTGACCACTATTATTACTATCCTTTAAAAATGAAACATGATGCCTAGCACCTAACACTGGGCTTAGTATATAGTCTACTGAATTGAGTTCCACAAATAAGGAAAAGTTCAAGTGATTTTTATTAAAAAGAATACCAATAAATGACCTGCCCAAACTGCTGATATCTGCTCACATATTAACTCAATCTCAGATCATAATCCAATAAATCAGAACAGATTATATACTTAGTCCACTACGGAAGCTATTGGCCTCATGTGGCTCTTGAGTACTTGAAATGTGTCTAGCTCAAATTGTGCTGTAAATGTATAAGAATCAGATTTGAATATTTAGTATTAAAAATGTAAAATATCTCATTGATAACTTTTATATTACACGTTGAAATATTTGGGTTAAATGAATTTGAAAACTTTATTTATGGCTTGCAATGTATTTCTGTGCATGTGTGTTTGTGTTTGTGTGTGTGTGTGTGTGTGTGTGTGTGTGTGTCCAACCAAACTTTTATTGGGGATTTATTGCAATCTACTTTTGTCAATAAAGGGAAAATGACCATAAGAATTCTGATCAGATTTTATTCAACAAAGCAGTTTTTCATGAATGCTTAAGGTCAGTGTATAGTCAGCTCAGCTTCCAGTATCAACTTGAGTACCTCATCATGAATATTTATGCCAGAATAAAAAAGGCATTGCAAGATGCTACATCATCTAAGATTAAGCTGTATTTTCCATATTACAATTTTTAGGACAGTAAAATATACTAATATACTCTATAATAAATAAAGATTTTAAAAATGTGTTGCTTAGCCCTTATTGAACAAATTCAATTATTAATTAGCTTATTCTTTACTCTAGTTAATAAAAGTTTGATTGTATTTCAAGAACTGAGTTTTCCAAAGATAAAAAATTAGTTATTTGTTATGACAAAAAGCTTAAAAGCCACTCACACTTGTCCTTAAAAGCATGTTTACATCATTTATAACTTCTCAGGCCTGATGACATGGCTCATATGGCAAAAAGAATTATATGCAAAGGACAATTAGAGGGGAATCCTCCCATCTCCACTTCCTCCAAAAAGCCACACTTGACCTCAATGTAAAAGTTATATTTTATTGCCATGCTACAAACTATATGAAGTTGGCACTGATAAGGAGAAATAGAGAACAAACAGTGGGAAGGGATGGAGGGTTGAATTGTATTTCTTTTGGAGAGTGCTGGTCCATAAGAACTGGAACCAAATTACAACATCTAGCATAGGACTCTTTCCTAGTTACTAATCCTAGTAATTATTTACACACAGGCGTGGCTTTCAACTGTAACTTACAAATAGCATATTGTGTACATTTAACTGGGGAGGGAAAAATGACCTTATAAAAGGTGATAGCCATAATTTTCTGGTAAAGGGAAATTTGTTCATTCAAGAAATTAGACACCTGTAATGAACTATGGGGCAGGAGATGTATAGGGGACTATAGAAATAAAGAAGACATATTCCTAGATCTTGAACTGCTCTTGCTGTAGTCAGAATAATTATTCTTTGGGTTTATTTCTCAAAATAATGTTAAAATTGGGGTCTTAGAGTCCAGGAGAAAAATAATAACATAGTGGGTGACATCATTTATCAATACCCTAAAATTAACATATTAATAAGCTATTGCTAGTCTGCACCTCTCCTGACAATATAGTATCTATTTGGTGGTGGTGGTGGGGAAGCAGACAAGGCCAAAGGAATGAGATGCTATCATTAACAACTTTGATTACAAATACGGATTAATTATATTTAAACTAATTATATTCAAATATAACTAGATTTTCAACATTTTCCTTGTAGATAATTTTCAGCAAGTGAAAACCTGTTTAAAATAATGAAACTGGCAATGCCATAGTAATGAAATCATCAAATTACTTGAACAGAAAATCTTGTTAACTACTCTCTTCTTTCTATATTTTTACCTCAAAGCAGAAGTCTTGTCCAAGGACGCTACTATGGAGTGGTTTCACTGACACAGGCTCCCCTCTACCAAGATCCAGACATTCCACTGCACTGCATGGGCTGAGCAAGGATTCATGGGAACGTGATTCTTTTAATTTAGGCAGCCCACGAGACCTACAAATTGAAGATATTTCAGGTAGTGTTACCTTGGCCAACAAGGAAATGAAGGGCTAATGCAATGGAGGCTAACAACAAATGCACAAATGCCTAAAGTAAAAAAAAAGACGAACTAATAATCTATAATAATAGTAATTATAGTCACATGACATATAAACTATACACACATATGCAAATACAATTTTTTTGAACACAGAATAAAAACAGAATAATTTTTACTGGTCTCAAGGGAGTGCAAAACTCCTCTACAAACATTATTTTATCTTCATTCCTATATATTGGAAGATGGAGAAATATATACCACAGCATTCAGGGTTATCTTACATATTTCTTTTTATGCAAACATATAGTCAAAGGGCACATTATTTCTTATTTTATTCATCGTATGGCCTTATCCTCATATCACTGACCAAATAATAGTGGCTAAACCCTCATTTTGTTTCTTTCTGCACTGAGAGAAAAAACACATGAGCGCAGGCACACACACACACACACACACACACACACACACACACGCACACAGTCAAACCCAAACTTTTTAGCAGAAGAATGCCTCACTATAGAATTCTGTATAAATATGAATAAAGAATAAAATGCCTCGAAGAAACTTCTCATGAAAAAAAATCCACATTCTCAAAGAGAACAAATCTTTGTCAACACTGTTCAGGGATCCTGGCTGATTTTATTTCCTAGTTCTCTAAGAAAGAATTCTGGGAATCATGACTCTTGTCACTTTAGAAGTTAGTGCTTCATTGCCTTCCTCTTGAAAGAATTAACACAATATTCTTGAATCCATAACTGGATGGCTATGCACTCTACTCAGTAATTACAGTATTTATTGGCTGAAACACCCAGACTTAAATACATGTATTTCAAGAAGTATTTATAAAGAATAAAAAGAAATGTCTGCATAAAGACATTTGTTATTATAAAATACATTAAATAAGCAGCTTCAATTATTTCCTTGAAATAACTAAGGTGACATTAAAGGGAACTAAAACACTTAATGCCAGAGTAAGATTCAATTAAGTTATAAAGTAATAAGATACAGAAAACTAGCACTAAAGAGTACTCTTTTGTTTTCATTCTAACGTTGTTTAATTAAACCTTATCAAATAAGAAACATTTTAAGCATTAAGATTTTTAATCTTTTCCTCTTCAAACACACACACAATCAACCATCATGTAAAGTTTTTAAAAATGTGTGTTCTGATATTTAGCAATTTTAAAGTGAAAAAGTCAACATTTATATTTTTCTACTGATAATCACAGAAAGGATAAATGCCACCTAATGTTTTGTACACAAAAATATGTCAGCGTATCAGTTTCACATTTACTTCTCTTTGTAATTTTGGGTAAGAAAATGACATGTTTGCAGTCATACGCAGCAAATATAGAACGTCAATTATATATAACAAAATGCTAGATTTTTTTACTTTAACTATCATACAACCTTTCCCAATATGCTGCATAGGAAGCCCTGTTGAGGGAAGGGATACTATAATCTTTCTTAAACAAAAGTTCTAGCTCATCTTTCTCAATTGTTGCTGGAAAAAAAAAAGCCTCTCATGCTCTTGGGTGAGCCTTTCACCAGGAAAGATTAAGGCATATTTAAAATGGAGGTAGACAAAAGGCTTACTTTTACTTTTTAAATTCTCTAGGAAAAAATTTCTAAAGTATAAATTAATTTTATTTCAAACAAAATAAATGTCTACCTACATGAAGCAACTGTACAACCAGTTGGCAGTGCAACCCCAAATCATAGCGGTGCCACATATTCCGGTATAGCAAGTCAGTTTCTGGATTACATCTCAGAAAGCAACAGGAACCAATAGAAAATGGTTTCCTTGCTGCCTTTGGCTACTGATACCATCTTTGGGTAAATGCTTTCCAGGTGTTATTCAAGTCTTCAACAGAAACATAACAGGAAAAGAAGTCATCTTCATCCAAACCCTGCAAGACAGCTACTCCATCTTCTCTTCCTTCCGGCTGCATCTAGCCCCTCAGGTAACACAAACAAGGTTCCTGGGCTCTAGGCTGGGCCTGTTGCCATGGTGCTACACCTACCTATAAGGAGATTAGAGCTGGAAGGCAGCAGGGAAAAGCTGCTGCGTGAAGGACTCAGGGAGCATGTTTTGCAAACACTGAAAACACGGCAAAGCTTGACTGTTTCAAAACAAAGGAAGGTGAGGCTCCCATTCATTTCCATTAAGAAGGTCTCAGTCAAAGGCTGTAGAAAAGAAATTGAGGCAACTCTGGTGTTGGAGGAGAATTTCATCAAAAACTCTACTAAGAACAAATCTTAGATGTTTTAGCTTGCTTCATGTATAATTCCCTCCCTCCCTTTAGAAAGTATTTCTTATATTCCACCTTACAAGCACAATTTTTCTCTCATATCTGTTGTTTCCTTTCCAGTACTTGCCCTCATTTAATGTTTCTAGGTATTATTTTACACAAATTTATTGGGTCTACACATATTTTCTTCCTTTGGTGAATGTTTGATAAAATTATTTTTTCATATTAAGATATTATAAATTAAGCCATCTGCAATTATAACTCAAAACTCTTCCTAGTTATTGAAATTTCAATTAGTTCAGAATCTCCCATTGTTCACTATGTGTACATATGGACACATGAATTGAAAGCCAAAGTCACTAATATGTTCAACATTACTACTGAATAAATAACAAAGCCCTTCCTGTATTGGGAAGATAGTGTCTCTGAGAAGACAAACGTAATTCCCAGAGAAGCAAGATTACAATAAACAGGAAGATCAAATAGGCTGGGAATGTCTCAGGGAGGAGGGAGGCATTATCTGTACAAGTATTTTGGTATAATACCATTAGTAACCCCAAGTCTCCTCTAAATCATGTTTACCTCCTTCTGTACCATCATATGAATTGATTTTTCTTAGATCTACTAACTGCAGAGTTTTAGCAGCTCTGTGGCACTAGTTTACTCCTCTAATGGAAAGTAAAATGTGGATTCATTGGGAGAATAATGAGTTTAAAACAACTTTTCCCAGTCCAATCTGACAATGATCTTTATCAAGAAACTTAATCCTATCTCAAAAGTGGATGCTGTGAGTTCCCTGACTACTGGCCAGGCTCTCTTCCTGACTGTTCTCCTTCCCCTGTACCATCAGCTCAAATGTCATGTAAGGATAACTGAGAGCTCTAATATGACTTTTTAAAATTTAATTGGGAAAGTGCTTCCCAGAGGGCACGTTTACTTCTAATTAAGGACTATATCCTTTATATTTCTGTTTTAAGGTCACCAGACAATCTTGATTTCTATGCAAACTCTCGCAAGCTAAGGGTTAAAAATCTAATTGCTTTGCTGATCAAGATTACCTGCTGCTTCTGACCTATTTAAGAGATAAACTACAAGGCAAGAGAGGCTCTTTATGACTCACTACAGCCAATGAGTATTTCACTGCTTTAACCCTCATCCTTATGTGAAATCAGTCTTAAAAGACCAAAGTGAAGGGATGGGGGATGAGGAGCCAACACACATAACAACAGATATACTGATGGAGAAAAAAAGAAACGAGTAAAAGAACTTTGATTAGCACCATTTCAAGTAAAACACAGCTGGATTTTCTCAGCTTGCCATCCAATTTTTTTTTTAAGTCACATTTTCTCCACAGCTCCAGTGGTGCTTGGATGTGCTAGTGCAATCTACCACATGTTTAAAGATTCAAATTTAGGAAATAGGAAACTTTTAATTAAAATGCTTATTGCCACACAAAATCTTGGACTCCAGTGCAGGTGAGTTTCTGCTTGGCTTGGCAGTTATGATTCCAGACAGCTTCACTGAATTCTTGAAGAAACAGCTCAGCTAGTAAGCTGGGTGCAGCAATACACTTCTGTTTTAACCAGTATTCATTCCTAAGGCACTCACTGTGTTTGAAAAATTTCCAGGTAATAATTAGAAACATTTCATATCCTAATACTCTACCAACAAATATACATAGTGTCTAATGAGTTTTTAAAAAATAATTTTATCTCACTTTGGGGAAAGTGTAGTTTTCCCTTTCCTTGAAAAAAAAAATTTTTTTTTTTTTTTTTTGGTTTCCCAGTGAGGTATTTGGTGGCAACATTCAAGTGATGTTTTCTGTTTGAAAATACTTTCCTGTATTATAATTTTAAAGGTTCCCCCTTCAATTAAAAATAAATTAGAGCATATTCATCAAAGTTCTACTTGTGTACTAAAAAAACTAGTGTCTTCCTAAGGATCCTGACAGCTCTTGCTGTACTGGTTTACTTGGTGCAGGTAAAGCCAGTCCCTAGAACCTATGTTACTCGTTGATTTTTATGTTAGCTTAAAAGCATACACCACACATAAAGCTATTTACGGAAGCACAGTATATACTGCAGACCTTCCTTGTCCCTGCTTTCAGCCTCCAGACAGCCCAGCAGGTATATGCTGAGCTGCTAAGGACAAATAAGGATTTTTTTGTTTTGGTCCTGGGGATTGAACTCAGGACCCTGAGCTGGCGAGGCAGGTGCGGTGCCATTAAGCTAAATTACAAATGGAGTAAAATCTACTAGTACTTATTTAACAAATTATACATACTATGTTGAATTAACAACATACAAAATTAAGCCAAACTATACTCATAATCCAACTCAATTAACACACATGGAAGGACTAATGCATTTTTCTTTTATCAAATTTAGTTGCTAGAATTTTTTAGTTTCATTATTACCTTAAAATTGAAGTTTAGAGTGAAAGAAAGAAGAGAAAGGAACTGATGAAGTATGATCACATTTACTTTTTTTTTGTAATCACATTTACTTCTTAATCTTTATCAAACTCATGACTATTTGTTTCCCATTAGTTCTCTTTGGTTGAATAGATGAACACAGGTATGAATCAATCTATCCATCTTTCCAAAATTACTTGGTATCTGTTATGTGGAGGTGCTATAGTAGAGGTAAGTGCATGGAATATAATGAAGAAGAAAGGCATGGTCCTTGTCCTCACACACATGT